CTCCCGGAGGTGAGGCCCACAGTAAACACACGCCAGGGCTGCCTTGCAGCCTGTGCTGGGCAGTGCCGGGGGCCTGGGCCGGCCAGCCAAGAGTCAGCTTATGTGAGGCAGGGGAGGCCCTGAATGGGGGTTCCTGCAGATGCAGGCAGGAGGCCCGCCCGGGAATCATGGGATGCAGGGCCCAGATATGGAGGGTTGACGGTTTACTTTCGAGAACTTTCCCTTGATGGATAGGCATTTTCCTAATGAGACTGACAGTGAGTCTCTAAGAGGAAGGAGGCTTCAAAGTTCTCTTTCTTCTCTGAAACAAGACTTTTCTTCCCCAAGAAGGAAGGGCCAGAGTTCGCTCAGGGCCCTGTGGCTGGGGGCCTGGCTGAAGGGGGAAGAGTGGTCTCTGCCCTCATTGTTTAATAAATGCCCACGGCCACTGACTGCTGTACAGCCTCTCCACCTCCCTTGGGAGGCTTAGTGCCCTGTTTGAGCCTCCATTTCTCCCCCAGGTACCTCATGGCAGGGCCCGACTCCAGCAGTGAGGAAGAGGGGGGCTGTCCCAGTGGCAGCAGTGGGGATGAAGCCCCCAGGCTTCCAAGAAAGGTCTGCTGCCCCTGCCTGGTGGAAGAGGGGGCACCGGGAGGATGACGTGGGTGTGTGCCCTACTCACAGCCACGCTGCCACCCTCATCACTGACCCTGCCTTCTCTGCACCCCAGACCAAAGCCAAGCCTCCCCCGGCATCTGGACCAGGCTCACCCCAGAAGCCCTTAAGCCCAAAAGAGACCAAAGCAGCCTCACTGGGACCCCAGGAAAATTCTGACACAGAGGAGGAGCAGTCAGGTTAGACTGCAGAAAGAGGGTTGGGTTTTGGACCCCTGGGTTTAGCAAGGAGGCTGGGCAGGGACCCCTGGTCAGAGGGAGGAGAAAGCTGAGTTATAGGCAAATGGAAGGGAAACAGGGGGGTCCCAGGGTCAGATACCTGGATGTGGAGATCAGCTGAGGTTGTGTTTGGGGGGCCCAAGTACAGGCTCAGATGAGGAGCGACAGCGCAGTGTGTGTCCCTCTTGCGGACTGAGCTTCTGTTTACAGCAGGTCGGGACGATGGGGAAGAAGAGTCTGGGGACACAGAGGACGAGCTGAGGAGGTAGGCTGGGGCTCCAGTCAGGGCAGCCAGGCCTGGGGTGTGGTGTTTCGCTGTGTGTCCACACTCTGCTGCTCTCCACCCGCCAGGGTGGCCGAGCAGAGGGAGCACAGGCCCGCCCCTGGCCAGGAGAACGGTGAGGACCCGTATGCAGGCTCCACAGATGAGAACACCGACAACGAGGATCGCCCAGAGTCTCCCGACCAGCCAATCCCTGAGCTCCCAGGTAGGAAACCCCTTGCCTCCCAGTGGTCAGCGGTGACTTGCCCAGCCAGCCCTGGGAGCCTGCTGCCCACCTGCTCCCTGTCTTGGGCCCTGCCTGTTGTGCTGGGCCTGCCCCCGCCTCCGCTTCCTCTCCATGTCTTTGGTCTTTATTGCCTCTGACTTCTTGCTCTCACCACTTGCTTTGTTGCACAGTGCCAGAGCCCCCTGGGACTCCCGTACAAGTGCCGTCAGGGCCTGCTGTGTGACAAGGACACTGCTGTGCCTTGGGACCTCAGTGGTGGGCGCATGTGTTCACTTTAGTTCATACTGGCATGAATGCTGCGTGGGTATATGCGTGTAAGAAAGGAAGGAGGTGGCAACACCCCCCTCCTGGCTGGGGATCCACAGCCCCTTCTGGTCAACTACGGATCCGAGTGGAGGCAAGGTTTTAGGACACTGGAGGAGCTGCTCCCCAGTTTCTCATGGCTGACAGCAGGAAAGAACTTTGGTCCTCCACAGCCTGAAGTGTCATGTACAGGGGAAAGACTGAGCCACTTGGAGGTCAAGGTGGGACTGTAGCTGTCAGGACGAGGCTGCCCAGGTGGAGAATTGGCCCCTGGCCAACCAGTGCAGTGGCTGCAGCCCATCCCTAAGTGACACATTGTGATAAGTCATTGTGTCTCTTATCAGTAAGGCAGACAAGCAGATGGACAAACCAGCCAGTCTCCCCAGAGGCTCCCCGGTGAACGGTTTGGCCTCAGCCACCGGCCACTTCGCTGCATGGGCCCCAGTGTTCTGTCTTTCTCAGTGTCTTTCTCAGAACACTGGGGCCCATGCAGCGAAGCGGAGCTCAGAGCACCTTGGTTTTACCCCTTCCTCTGTTTCTTGCAGACTTCTTCCAGGGCAAGCACTTCTTCCTGTATGGGGAGTTCCCTGGTGACGAGCGGCGGAAGCTCATCCGTTATGTGACAGCCTTCAATGGGTCAGTCCGGGGGTGGGGTGATGATCCAGGAGAGAGGCAGTCCAGAGGAGAGGGGGTGTGCCTGGCAGCGTGGGTCCAGGCTGGGGAATCTGAATGCCAGCCTGGTGCATCGTCTTCCTCAGCCTCCACCGCTCTAAAGTGAGGCTCTCCCCCTCGAAAAGGGCTAGCACCAAGATTACCACGTGGGGCCTTTGCTACTGTGGCTTAGGGGTTTGGTACATGGGAAAATGGAGGCCTCAATGGCATCTGCTGGGCATCGGTGGGGCTGGAAAAAGGACAGGACCTGGAGAGGTCTGGGAAGTGAGGCATTGAGAGAGCAGATGCTGGACATGGCTCTGCCTCCTTCCTCTCTCCTGCCAGCGAGCTTGAGGACTATATGAGTGACCGTGTCCAGTTTGTGATCACAGCACAGGAATGGGATCCTAGCTTTGAGGAGGTGAGCCCTGGGGCAGGGAGAGGGTGAGAAAAGGGGAACCCTTCTCCCCTTCACATCACCCATCCTCTCGGTTGTATGTTCCCATGTGGACCTTCCTGTAGGCCTTGATGGACAACCCTTCCCTGGCATTCGTCCGTCCCCGATGGATCTACAGTTGCAACGAGAAGCAGAAGTTACTTCCCCACCAGCTCTATGGGGTGGTGCCCCAGGCTTGAACTATGCCCTGTTGTACACGGATGCACACACACACACACACACACAGTTTAATAAAGGTGACCTGGCTTGGAACTGCTGCCCCTTGTCACTCAGGAGTCTGCCAAGGCTCTAAGAGGCTGCTGGCCTGTGTCTCGTATTTGGCTTTGCTTCCACTCCAGAGGCCTCTGAGCTGCTTTAGGGCCCTGTCCCAGGATCCAGGAAGGAGGCCTGGCTCTGTCATTGAATGTGGTAGGGAAAGAGCTCTCTTCTCCCTGGCCCTGGGCCTCTGTGCTGAGGTGGCAGGGGGGAACTTGACCCTCAGCACTGCTCCTCAGTTTGTCCTTTTCTGCATCTTCTGTGGGACATGGAATGGAGCTGCTCATGAGATCAGCTACTCTCTTGGTCTCGTCTCAGCCTGCCCCCTCCAGGGATAGAGCCTTTTCCCCAGGGGTCTTAGAGGTCACCTAATCCAAGAGGCAGAATGCAAGGAAGGGGCATCTTAAGCAACCCTCTCCCCTGCCCCACCAAATCCAGGCCCCTTTAAGGCGCCACCACACTGAAGGTGGGAACTAAGCTGGGTGTCAGGGAATGGGGCAGAAGATAGGGTGGCACTGTAGGCAGGGCCATAGTGGGGCAAGGGAGGTAGGACCAGGCAGCCACAGGGGCGTTGCTGCTTCCTGGAAGAGACTGTAGGGGCAGATGTAGCTGGGAAGCTGGTACAGCCCTTGAGGCTGTGTCGTCCAGTGTGGCCAGTTACAACTAATGAAAGCAGAATGCGGACTTCCTCAGGAGCACAGGCCACACACTTGGTGGTGCTCTGCAGCTACTCTACTGACCGCAGGTAGCGAGCACTCTGCCACTCTGGGAAGTTCTTTTGGCCCTGGCGCCCTGCCCCCACCCCCAGGCTCTGAACTGCAGTCCAAGGAACCTGGACTTTGTCTGAGGAGTGGGACAGAGTCTGGAGTGAGAGCTGACCTTTGGGTAAGTGGACATTCAGAGCCCTTTCCTGATTTGACCTCGCCTCAAGCATTGCCTTCTTTTTCTGGACTTTGGTTCTGTCCTTGGTAAGATGAAGGTAGCCATGGGCTGTTTGCACTCCTTATCTGTTCATTTATTCTCACTCAGGGTACCAATCCCTCACTGCCACCCTCTCCTGGGGCTCCTGAAACAAACTTCTGCAAACCGAATGGCTTCAGACAGCAGATGTCCTGCATTTCAAGTCCGGAGGTCTGAAGTCCAGAATGGTGTCTGGGCTCAGAATCAAGGGATGGGCACAGCTGTGATCTTTTGCAAGCTCTGGGGGTGAATCTGCTAGAGGCCCCCCACAGCCCTTTCTTCCATATCCAGAGCCAGTAAGGGCCAGTTCATCTTCCCCATGTCCCACTGCCGTGACACTGCCTCTTCAATCTAATCCTTCTTAGACTGAAAGACCCTGTGGTTATGTTAAGCCCACCTGGATCATCTGGGATAATGTCTCTTATTTTTAATTTTTTTTTATCAGTACATATTTACATTGAACTTGGGAAGTAGATACATGTACTTAACATATCTTGATTTTTTTAAAGTTCCCTTTCCTGCTCCCCTTATTTTTTGGGTTTTGAGACAGGGTCTTGCTCTATAACTCTAAAGTCAACTGATTCACAACCTTAATTTCTTTTATCGTAATTTTCCTTTGCCACATATTCCCAGGTTCCAGGGATTAAGATGAACATCTCTGAGGGCCATGATTGTGTACACCGTGCACAAGACACGGGATGCAGTATGAAAAGACACCAGTCCCGGCTGCACAGGGTGGCTGGCGCTAAGCAGGGGAAGACGGCAAGTGTGCAGTGCAGCACTGGGATGTGACTGTCCCTTAAGGATACTTTCTTGCTTCTGTGGTTACTTAAATAATTCTTAGTTCCTTCTAAATATCTTAGAGTTCTCAAATTTATTTATTTATTTCTCCAGTAGATCTTAAGTTTCCAGAAACTTATTTTTGTGTGTGGCGTGAGGTAGGGTCACTCTTCCATTTCCTATTGTTGGTTTAACAAATCACTGCAAGCTTAGTGGCTTTAAACTACACAGCTTTATTTTCTTATCATTTTGGAGATCAGTAGTCCAAAGTCAGGCTTGTCTAAAGTGAAAGTGTCCACAGAACCCGGACGCTTTCTGGAGGAATCCTTTTCCTCACCTTTTCTAGCTTTTATGGGCTGCCCAAATTTCTTAGCACTCTGATCTCTACCTCCACAGGTACACTGTCTCTCTGCCCTCATGGAAAGACCCTTACGATCACATTGGGTCTACTCAAATAGCCAAGTTCATCTCCTGCTCTCAAGAGAGGACCCTTAAACATATACAATGTCCTCTTTGCTTGTGTACACTAACACACAGGTTCTGGGGATTATACTAAAGTATATTTATGGGGCAATGCTCCACACCATAGGAGTCCATTTAACTTTCTTCCCATATGTTGTGGCCTCATTTACTGATAAAAGTCTGTACTTTCCCTACTTAGCTACAGCAGTGGTTGGTAAATTGAAGCCCAGAGGCAAAATCTAGCCCACCAACTTGCTGCAGTTTTATTAGAACAGAGCCACACCCCTCCACTTACGTATGATACTGTGTTTAGCAGTAAGTTCACTGGCAGACAGTATGGCCCGTAAACCTAAGAATACATACTACTGGGCTGCGCACAATGGCTCACCCCTATAACCCCAGACAGGAAGCCTGCAAGTTCAAGAGCAGCGTGGGCAACTTACCAAGACTATCTCAAAAAATAAAACAGTATAAAGGCTCAGAACCAGGAAGACGGGGGCAGGATCAGCATATACATTCTCAGACCCCTTATCTACAGGTGGGGTTTGTTGTCTATCAGTATAAATGCAGGTCTGTTTGAGTTCTCAGTTCCCATTGGGTTGATCCCAGGCCAACACTACAGGTTTCACTAGTACAGCCTTATAATTCTATCTTGGGAACAAGGGTAAGACGAGGTTCCCACACTTTTCATAAAAGGTTTTGGCCTTTTTTCCCCCTTGGTAGTGGGGATTGAACCTAGGGCCTAGCACAGCTAGGCAGGAGTTCCACCACGGATCTAGATCCCCAGCCCTCCCGTTTTGATATAGGGTCTTGCTGAGTTGACTAGATTGGGCTGGGACTTTTGATCCTCATGCCTCAGCCTCCCAAACTGTGGAGACTACAGGATTGGATCACCATGCCTTTTTGGGGCCACTACTTGATTAGTGTCCACTGTCCTCCCTAGATCAAGTCTGTCACCACTGCTGTGTCCCTAATGTCCCCTGCAGGGTACAGCACACAGTGGTGCTTGATACATATCTATGGATCAAAGAGCGGTCCTATGCTGGGCTGCTCATCCTTATTTTAGGGTGCAGTGACAGATCCAAAAGGGAAATGGCCTTGCCTGAGATGGTGCTTGCCCCTTACCAGTGACTTGTGACCTCATTTTACAGGTAAGGCATGAGTCCAGAGAAGTGACATTGTTGGTCCAGGGACTCACAACTCCTAAGGAGTGGTCAGGGCTGGCTCCAAGGGTAGGCTTTCTGATGATTCATTTCTGTCGGGTGCGTGCCCTTTGTTCTTCCTGCATCCCCTTGCATTCTCCCGGCTCTTTCCCCATCAGTGTACGGAGCGGTGACCTTCCTACACCTGTATATTCCATTCCGTGGCAGCATTGTCATTCATAGCTGGCGCCCCTGGTGGACACATGGGCGGTTTCCAATCTGGCCACAGTGAACATCTTTACCTTGATGACCTTTCCTCATGCTTCAGTTTATAGGATACATTCCTACAGGTGGAATAGTTTCAGCAGGCAAGTGTGTGTCTTATGGCCAAGGTGGGGTCATCAAGTTAAACTTTCAACACAATAAAGAGAGCCTGTTTGCCCACATTCTTTACTAACCCAGGATATGTGCAGACTTTTTACCTTTGCCATAGAAGTGGGAGGGGAGAGTCAGACAGCGCCAGCACTGGCAAACCATACATAGGTCCATGTCCGTAGTTTTGGACCCAGTACTAAGTCTGGTTGACACCTAACCATCAGCACAGTTCCCCAGCCTTCTACTGTCAGGCCTGGTGTAAACGGCCAGTCTCCTCCTGCCAGCTCTCTGGAAGAGGCGAATCTGTACAGTCCGCATGGGAATCCCACCTCATCATTAACAGGGCAGGCAGCAGAGCGGCATGTGAGCCACCAGGAGGGCTCATTCTCTTTCCCCCTGACCCTCCGCTTGGTGGTGACCCCGTTGATGCACAAGCAGGAGGCGTCTCTGGCCAAAAGCCTGGCCGCAGGTGGAGCATCGGTGGCGGCTGGCGGCCTGGCTGCTCGGTGTGGTTGGGGGGTCGTGACACAGTCGATGGGCAGCCAGCTTGGAGGGGAACGAGAAAGCCTTGGGGCAGTGTGGGCAAGGATAGGGGCGAGCCTCGGTGGCATGGTGTGTGTGGCGGTGGGCCGCCAGCTTGGAGGGGTAGCAGAAGGACTTGGTGCAGTCAGGGCACGGATAGGGGCGGGTGGGCGCATGCGTCCAAAGATGGGCAGCCAGTTTGGAGCGGTGGCCAAAAGCCTTCGGGCAGTGTGGGCACAGGTGCGGGCGGGCGCCACTGTGCGTGAGGCGGTGTGCTGCCAGCTTAGATGGGTAGGAGAAGGCCTTGGGGCAGTCAGGGCATGGGTGGGGCCGGGTGCCGCCATGTGCTAAACGGTGCGTGGCCAGCTTGGATGGGTAGGAGAAGGCCTTGTCGCAGTCGGGGCAGCGGTGTGGGCGCTGAGGCGGAGGCCGCCGGCGTGGCCGGGAAGGCGCAGCCCCCACTGCAGTGGGCCCTGGACCAGACTGGCTGGGTTTCTGCGGTGGGTCCTGGTGGAGATCTGGGGGACAGGAGGGCTGGTGCGTTTCAGGAAACACGCAGCATCCTAGCCCTAGACCAGGCGCTGCCACCACCTTGATACTGGAAGGGACCCTCAAAAGCACATGGGAGCATTTCAGGACTCATATTCCCCAAATGGAATCATTTCTGCTTCCTCCCTCCTCCCATGAATTGTCTTCCTGTTACCTAAACTACTAAGGCTTCCCAAAAGTGACTGTTACCCATTTCTAGTATCTTCCTAACAGTCATCCAGAAATCTCACAAATCAACACTCTGGTGCCTCCTGTAATTTCCTGAGCCCTAGCAAATGATCATGGAGGCTCTCCCAAAACCAAATGGAAAGATACATTTCTGTGGCTCCCATAATCATAATCCTAGGCCTATAAACTTTCACTCTAAGATTCCCCTACACGATTCTTGGAGCTCCCATTCCTAGGGAAGGATCCCTCCCACAGGCAGGGCCCTCTCACCTCCTTTGGTTGCAGGGTCCTTGCCAGAGGGGCTAGGATCTGTGCTCTGGGCCTGGGACTTTGCACCTTGCTCCAACATCTTGCTGGCACAGGAACCTAGGAAATGAGTGGGGGCAGGGGTAATGCTGATGATTCCCACGTTAATGCCGACAGTGTTAGAGGGCCAAAATCAGCTTGTCAGTTCCTGTAGACCCAGGGTTTATAGACATCTGGGATGGTTAAGGCCAGGACAGGGGTGACAGGAAGTTGGAGTCTAAGCACAATGGGCAAATGTACGGAAATTTAACCAAGAGGACGTCTCTTTGCAGCTTAAACCTGGGGTTGGAACCTTGAGGGGAATAGGTGGGGGACCTCACAAGATGAACCATGGGCTGCGCTGAGCGTGGAGAGGATGGGGCCGCGTTCAGATGGACAGAACCTTCCCCTTGAGCCCCAGCACCATGAGGGCATCTTTGGTGGGAATGGCAGAGCTATGTGCATCAGAACCACCAAAATCAGTAGCTCTGCGACTCAGGCCTAGGGGCGGGGCCTTGGAGAGGAGTGGGCGGGCCTTTTTCGATTATGTCCCAGGGGAGGAGCTTGTGTTGCAGTGGGCGGGGTCTCACGTCCAGGAGGCAGCTTTACCAGGCTTCTACCCTCTACTCAGTCCATTGCCTCTGCATCGACCGTGTCCTTCGTGTTAAATTTCATCCTCTGCGTAGTTGGGGAAGTGCAGGATACAGGGGGATCTGGAGAAAGATGAAAGGAATGTGGCTTGTGTAGCAGTCCTGAGGCCCTTAGTGAGCTTTTCCCTCGGGAATCCATGCATCCCGCACTCAGTGCACCCCTAGCAACGGAGGCTTCCAACCACCAATGCAAAGTCCCACGCGGACCCCCATCGATCCCCCTGCGGGAGATCCAGGCATCGGGCCCCCATACTTCCCGATGCACCAGGCTTCGGCATCGGAACCCCGCCCTTCTCACCTGCCGGCGCCCCTCCCGGGGGCGGGGCTCTGGACCCCTCCCTCCTCGGCCGCAGTTGCTGCGGCTTTAGCTTCTGCGGCGGAGCCCTAGGACCCACTGGACCGGCTGCCTGGGAGCGGAGGGGAGGGGACAAGGGAGCCCCGCGAGCGGCAGGGCCCGGCCTCATTCCCATTCCCTCCTCCTGCGCGGGGCCACAGGGGGCGTCGGCACGCGTGCGCAATCGCGGCCAACAGAAGCTGGGGAGGGGGAAGACGGAAGGGAAGGAGCGGATGGGAGCGCCTAGTGGGCGAGTTCCCTAGCGAGCTCCGAGCCGCGGCCGAAGGGCCGCGGGAAAGCGCACAGGGGCTGCGGGGCGTACGGTGGCTGAGGGGAGTCAAGCGCGGCCCCGGCGAAAGTGGATTGCCTGAGCTAGGAGTTCTGGAAGAAAGCTCCCGCCGCGTACAACGCCTTTACAAATACCCCTCTTCTTTCCCAGAATTCCACAGGGAGCTTAAGTTTCGTCTCTTTTCCCAGTTTCTTCCCAAGTTTGTGGCCAGTTCCACACCTCCAGGCATTTGCAAAAAAGTCTGACCGTTTCTTCGAGAGGACATGAGTGCGGAACACGGAGCGAGCTGGCTCCCAGTAAAAGACATTATTTGCATAGCGTCCCGACCACCTTGCCCATCGCCCCGAGCTACCTCCTCTACCCGGGCCTAGCTGTCCAGGTGACCAGGCCCAGTGTCTGTGTGCCCGCCAGGGAAGGCATGCAGCTGGGCTTTTTTCTCAAACAGCGACCGTATAAGTGCTGGAATAACCATGATGTTCCCATGAAAGGTTGGGTGAGTCTCCAGCCTGAAAATCCACGTGGTCTGGTGATGTCAGAGTCCTGGGAGTTGATGGATTATTTGGATTCTGGAGCCAGAATGCCTCAATAACTCCTTTGGTTTCTCACCAAAGTCATTCTCTTGGATAGGTGACTTCATTTTTCTGGACCTCAGTTTCCTCATGTATAAAATAGAGAGTTCTTGGGATTAAACACAATAATCAATGGAAAATGTTTAGAATACAAAATGGCGCGGCAGGGGGTTTAGCCCAGCCGCATAAGCGCCTGCCTTGAAAGCAGGCAGTCGTGAGTTCGATCCCCGGTACCGATAAAAAGGAAAAAGACAAAAAAAAAATTTTTAAAAATGGCTAGAGTACTCAATAAATGCTGTAAGTATTTTTGTTTTTCTTGGGCATTGAATTTGGCCTGATAGGGTCCAGTTGTCCCAGTGTAAGAACCGGTGTCGCAGGGGAGAAGACCCCAAGGACTCAGCTCGTAGTGAGGAGTAAAAAGTTTATTTCCATGCGCATGGGGTCCTCCAGGCAAACAAGTGCGGAGGGCCCCGAGGGGGAATTGTGTAGGGTTTTTAAGGGCGCAAACGGGAGGCAAGCGAGTTTACAGAAGCAGATTGCATTGGTTAATTTTGAGCAGGATAGGACTTGGCAGAAGTTGATTGGAGGGGTTTGGGGTTGAGTAACCATGGAGACTGGGGGTCCTAGCCCAGTCACTATGTGCCCAGAACAGAACAGTTACTTGTCTTACTTATCTCGTTGAGACAGAACAACCTTGCAGGTGCATTTTTTTTTTTTTTTTTTGCTCGGTTCTGATAGCTCTGGGGAGTTAGGCATTCCTTTCTGCTCTGCTCTGATAGCTCTGGGGAGTTAGGGAGTTAACCCTTTCACCAGGAACAACTTAACAAACATCACATGAACACACATCAAGAAGGAGCACTTTGTTTTCAGGGAATCTCTCCTTTTACATCTTGGAATGCTGCAGATTCTGGTTTTCCTTTCGGGTCTCCTATGAACTATATAGCCAATCCTGTCGCCGGGCCTTGCCCTTAAGTCTCAGTTTAAATGTTACCACAGCCTTTTGCTTCTCACTTTTTTTTTTTTTTAAGATAGGTTCTTACTATGTAGTTCATGCTGGTCTCAAACTCACTATGTAGTCCAGGCTGGTCTCAAACTTGCAGCAATCCTCCTGCCTGAGCCTCCTGAGTGCTGGAATTACAGGTGTGTGCCACTATGCCCTGCCCCACGTTTCTTGCAGAGCCCTTTTGCCCCTATTCCTCTGTTGTTCCCTCCCCCTTAACACCATACAGCTGTCTTCTGGCATGTGTAGTCTGTTGTGATAGACAACTTGTCTACCTTGTTTATCTGTCTGTCCCCAGAATCCAGAAAAGGGCTTAGCACATAATAGATACTTAATGAGTTTGTTGAATAAATACTTAAAATAATTTACAGCAGGAAGCCCTCTAGGGTGGGAAGAGAGAATAATGGGGAGAATGAACAGCTTGAGGTTAAAGAGCTTGGGAAAGGGCTTATGTAGGGTATGAAACCAGGGAAGGGCTTTAAACACAGGAAGTGGGGCAGGGGGTGTAGGTTTAGTGGAGGAGCTCTTGCCTACCATGCACAAGCCCCAGGCTCCCATCCCAACACAGCAAAAAAATAAAAATTAATGGGTCAGAGAAACAGGAAGTGTCATGAACTAGGTTAGGTTTAAAGATTTATGCCTTCAAGCGGTATGTAGGCATCTGGAATGGAAGTGGTCTGGGGGTATCTGGATAGTTTTTACTCACCCAAGAGTTGCTCCTGAGGTTCAGGGAGATGATTATGATATTTATGGACATTTTTCTTAGATATTACTTTGGAATTGCAAAATGTCTTCCTTGTCCCTTTTAGATGGTCAGTGTTCCCTGAGGGGCCTTCATCATGTAAGAAACTTGTGAAAGAATCCCAGCCTCCTGAGTGTAAAGTGTAGGGTTAAACAAGGGGAGGCTGCCTGGCTTGGTGACAGGTATTCATGTTTGGTGAGATGTTCTCCTAAGCCTGCAAGTTCATTCCTGACAGAAAGGGCAGGAGGCAAGAGTCCCAGTTGCCCCAATGATGATAACACCAGGGATTGAACTCACTGTGTTGTGCTTGCCAGGCAGGGTTTATGTGGCCAAGCTAAATCCCCAGGCCCAGTGGTAATTTTTTTGACCACGAAAAATTTTGAAGGCTGAGTTCTGTTCCATTGTCTACCAGGAAGGTCAGAGGTTAGCTCTTGACTTTTGCAATGGCTTTGAGCTCTCAGGGAACCCATTTCATAGGGCTTGGTCTGTCCTTTCCATTTAGGTCTGATGGGCAAGGAGAGGGTCAGGTTGAGGTGGGCTTGGATAGTCAAGTTTCTTTGTGTCTCTCAGATAGAGGGGATATTGGCCTTTGCAGTGTCTGTTTGCAGCAAGCACATTGGTCAGCTGCTAAGGCATAGGATCTGCTGTAAGTCTAGGGCTGTATAATGGTTGATACATTGTGCTAATTTGAGAAGTTCAGAAGTATAAATAAGTGACTCAGCAGGGGCCAAAGTCCACACTTTGTAAACATCCTCATCTTGTGCAAGGGAAGGCACAGAGATGGTGTAAGTGCTATATACACCCGTCGTAAGGGGTGGTAGCCTGCTTACAATAGAAGGGAGGAAAACAGGTTTGCTCCACTCCACCCATTTTGCTCTGGCTGTTTTTTTTTCCCACCTTGAACTGTTGCCACTCACCGTGCCACCCTTCCTTGGAGTGAGCTGATTACAGACTGAAACCTTCACAGACTTTGAAACTAAGTAACCCTTTCCTTCCTTAATTTTGAGTGTCAGATATTTTGTCTCAATATCAAGAGAATTTGGTACCAGGAGTGGGGTCTTTATTGTAACAATACCTGACTATGTGGTTCAAGAGCCTGTAGGAATGGCTTGTGGGAAGAGTTTGGAAAGATTGAGATGTGGTTCCTGAAAGAATAGAGCTGAAATGCCATAGGCTGTTATGTATGGAAGATTCTTGTCAAAGCTCAGAAGACCAAAAGGCTGATGGAAATCCTCCTAGTAAAGACCAGTGTCATTTGGGGATGACAGTGCACAATATATGTACCATTGTTGCTCCCTGATAGATGTGTACTGAATTTTTTTTTGTAGTTTTTCCTTCTTCTTTGTTTTTAATCCCTTAAAAAAAATCAGTGTTATGGTTGATACATTCGGTCAACTTGAGACATTTAGAAATTTAACTAAGAAATTCAGCAAGGATCCAGGGTCCATCCTTTGCAAATATCCTCAGCCTGTGCAAGAGGAGGACACAGAGGAGGTGGGAGTATTACATCCGTGGAGGGGGGACAGTTGCCTGTTTACAATAGAAGGGAGGAGAAAAAGCTTGTTCTTCCCCCTCTCACCTTCTGCTCTGGCTGCTTTTGCTGGCTGCTGCCTTGAAGTGTTGCTCCAGTGTCATTCCACCCTGTCTTGGGGCCAGCTGATTTTGAACTGAACCCTCCATGAACAGTGAGCTAAATAAACCTTTCCTTCCTTCATTTTGGGTGTTGGGTATCTTATCCCAACAATGAGAGAAAAGTAACCAAGACAATCAGATTTGGGAGGTTTCTGTTGGGAAAAAGAACTGTATTGGTTGTTGAATTCCAGGTGATGTGTGTTATGGCTTGGCAGAAAATTTGTTTGAATTTTACTCATGTCCAAAGACTCTGCCTGAGACTGAGTTTAAGGGCAGTGGACTAATTAATCTGGCAGTAGAAATTCAAAGGTAGTAGAAAGTTGAGGCTGTAGCATGGCTATTGTTGGGGGCTTTTAGTCAAATCTATGTTGAGAATCAAGTTAAGGGCCCTGCAGGATGATTTAAAACATTGTGAATTTGGCCAGAAAAGAAGCTCCAGTAAATCTGTGCACTACAAAGATAGATCTGAGGAGATCAAAATTGCTGAGAAGAAACAGTGGCCTAGACCACTGAAAGAAGCAGCAAGTCTCCACCCTTTGCAGTATTAAAATTGCCAAAGTGAAAGCTTTCCTTTGAGGAGAAAATCACAGAGTGCCATGTTCCAGAAGTCTGGTCACAACACCATGTTCCAAAAGGTGTCAGCATAGAAAATTTGTTCCTCAGAAATGTATTCACATTGCCTAGTGATCCGGTCACTTGAAAGTTGTGCTACTGCTCCAGCTGGCAGCAGACTTTGGTATCATTCGCATGGTGCTGGTTTAGTTGCAAGAGTTATGAATGCAAGAGTTATGGGGTTAAAAAGACTTTCACCTTGATTTCAGAAGACCTAGGAGGCCAGGAAGTGCCCCAGAAGAGGCAGTGTGTGAAGCTGTGAGTGTGAAGCCAAAGGTGCAGTGGAGACCCCAAAAGTTTAGAAAAGCCAGGAACATGAGTCATCCAAGGAATGTTGCAAGGAAGGAGCAAAATATGCCTAAGACAAAAGCTGTGGGAGCTGAAACCACCAGAAGTGCCATAGTGGTGGAGTCACTCAAACTCCTCGGAGCTCACAATTTGCTACATATTGCTTCAGATGCTGGACATGGAACAACACAACTTAATGCTTGTCCTGTTGGAGTTTTGACTTGGCTTGGTTCCAGTCCTTTGTATTCTCTTGCTTGTAATTTTTGGAATGAAAATGTTTATCTTGTGCCATTGAATTTTGGAAATGTTTAACTAATTTTTCATTTATACAAGGGCTTGCAGCTAAGATTTTGCCTTACATCTCAGAGGAGACTTGAAACTTGGACTTTTCACTGAAGTTGTTAGGACTTTGGCAACTCTTGGAGATGGGTTAATGCCTTTTGCATAAAGGGATGTGCATGAGTCTTTGGGGAGCAGGTATGGAATGTTATGGTTGTAATGTAATATAATGTTGATAGATACTGGTTCTTAAGGATTGTTAAACCTGTGTTATAAAGTTCAAGTTGTAAAATGATAAGAACCAGTATGTCTTTGTATCTGGAGACCAGTTTAAAGAAATGTGTCTGGTTGCAAAGTTAACAAGAGATGGGTTGTAATGGTTGATACATTATGTCTACATGAGAAGTTTAAAAGTTTAACTAAGTGACTCAGTAAGGGGCCAGGGTTCTCACTTTGTAAACATTTTCATCCTGTGCAAGAAGAGGGCACAGAGACGTGTGAGAGCTACATACACCTGCCCTAGGGGTGGTAGCCTGCCTACAATACAAAGGAAACAAGAGGCTTGCTCTCCCCTCCTCTTTGCTCTGCTGCTTCTGCTGTCTTCCGCCATCTTGCCCCTCACCATGTCACCCTTGGAGCCAGCTGACTATGGACTGAAACTTCCACAAATGTGATCTAAATAAACCTTTCCTTCCTTAGTGTTGAATGTTGGGTATTTTGCCTCAGCAACAAGAGAAAAGTAATCATCATGGGCTTTGAGGTTCAAGGACCCCTCCCACTTAGGTTGGCTGTCATGATGGGACTGTCATCTGATGCTTTTGAGCAGTCTTAATCTGAAGGGGCACTCATTTTTTAGTGCCCATGGCCCTTATCTTCAGTCAGAGGGTATAGCCGTGTATCAGATCAGGTTTCTGGGTAACAGTGGTTGATGTGCCTTTTGCCTCCTCTTTGATGTCTTTGAGAAATGCTCGACTGGATTGCTTTATTTAGGTGGGGTGACCTTTGGGAAAGTCTATGGTAACCTAAGGGTCAGCGGTGGAAGCCAGAAAGTCCATGCCAGCAGGATGAAGGAGCTGTGCTAGTGGGATGAGGGTTCTACACTGGAGCTGAGAAGTCACACTCACAACAAAGAGTGGGGCTGTCCTGAAAGGAACCACAGCTGTCCTCAGCGACACGGAGGCCCCGAGCTCCTCCGACGACAAGCACAGGCGGGAACGTGCCAGGAAGCAGCATGAGGAGTTCACCCTGGAGACCAGGCAGCACATGTCTTCCCCTCCGGAGCCAGGAAGCAATGCTCGATGTGAAGACCAAAGCTTCTCCAGAAGAACCAACAGACAGCAGCTCAGACAGCAACTCGTAAGAGAACCAACAATGCCTCCATAACGCCTCAATCCTTCTCAACACCTCCCTTCTTCTCCACCTATTTATCCTGGCAACCCTCCTCAGGTGGAGCGTCTTCTCTCGATGCATGCTGATGTAATCCAGCTGGCGTTAAGTTGACCACTAGTTATCAAACCATAACACCCTGTGTCTCAAAGAAAACAAAAAGGAAAAAGAAGTCCACTCTTCCTGAGAATTCTACCTTAGCATCCTCATTGGCTGCTGCAGTTCCTGCCAATACCTATAGCTGCCTTCTCCCAACTTGTCTACTTCCAGCCAGCTGAACTGGCTCCAGCTAGCCATTGCCTGCATTAAGCTGCAGAGGCCTCCCCGCCTGAACCTTTTACTTCATGGCTACACCTATCCTGGTCAGATAGCATCATCTAATGCCCACCCAAGATGACTGCCAGCAATTGCTTCTAAGTACATTTTAACTGAGGAAGAATTGGACTGTCAGCCTGAGGAATAGGTTACCATAGACTTTCCCAAAGGTCACCCCACCTAAATAAAGCAATCCAGTCGAGCATTGTCCTGAGCTCTGGGTTTTTATCTGGACTCATGTGGGACATTGCCGTGGGGTTTAGGCTCTTGACTTAAATAATCTATGTCGTTGGTGTTGCGGATAGATTTCCTGCATTCTCCTGTGTTAACTTTCAGTGACCATTATAAAAATATTATAAATTCCATGTCCTGACCTGAATTGTTCTCTGTGTACAACCCCTGACTACAACACAGGGAGTGGCTTCGTTTTATTTTTCAATCTGTAAAAGCCTTTTTTCCTACAGTCAGGGATTGTAGGTTTTGACTAATTACCATCTCTGACTTCCCATGTGAGTGTTGTGTATACATGAATGATGGCGCAACAGACAAAGGGTGGGTGCCCCTCAGAAAGAGATCATTCAGGTGTCTGCCTGGCCATGCCCCTTATGGGGACTTGGGCTCAGCTTAACTAAGGAGTATATATTCTGCCATATGTTGATCACCACAGAAGCACAGGTGAGGGCCTAGTTAGCCCCCATGACCAGTGCTTCCCAGTCTTGGTGCACAGATGGAGCAGTCTATTGCTTACACTGTCCTGTCCACTCACATATTCAGTCAACAGGCACTCAGAGGTTAAATATTCCAACACACTTCCATTGAGGGTGGTTCTGAATAAGGAGAGTTGATCAGACTCACCTTCTGCTTGAGCTGAGCAGAACCAACAGACAGACTTAGTAGAGTGTCTCCAGGGAGCTCTTACTGGAATCAGGCAGGCAGATAGACAGACACTGTGTCCTCCTTCCTTTGGGGTCCAATGGGAGCCACTTGAGTGGAGAGCCAGGAATCCTCCTCCAGATCTCTGAGTGGACTCAAGAAATCCTGAGGGTACATCTTCCTGTCAGTCAAGGACCTGGAGAGCAAGGTGCTTGCTCTGTCTGCCAGGGCCATGACTGGTGACCAAACAGGTTAGCATGGTTTATCTCCCCAGCTGATGCTCAGCTACTATTGCAAACAAGCACTGAAATGACACCCAGGATTTAGAGGCAGATTTATTTTATATCAGTGGGCACTGATTGGGATCATTCTCAGAATATCAAGCCCCAGTCTCTGGTGGTCTAGGGCTTATGTGAGATAAGCGAGCAGGATGTATGAAACCAGAATGGCTTGTCAGTGGGGACTGGTTCTTACACTATGCATCACAGTAACCATCTGCTTCTAAGAAAACAAATTAACAGGAACTGCAACCAGAAACATTACCTGGCAAACTAACAGACTGACATATACTGGCTGGGAGAGGGGCACCTTCCACTATAAGAGAGGGCTCGCAGAAGACTTGGTGATGGTGGCCTTTGTGTTAAATGTAGTGAAGCAGTTTAGTCTCAAAACAAAGCAGGGCTTTTGTAAAGGCATTAATGTATGGTCTGTTCTGAGGATCCATTCAGGACCTGGAAACAGCAGAGTTAAAATAAAGGAAAAGGTTTGGTGGTACAGGCCTGTATGCCATCAGCTCTGGGAGGCTGAGGCAGGAGAATCACAAATTGAAGCCCAGCCCAGGCAACTTTGTGACTTAGTAAGACCCTGTCTCAAAATGAAGAGTGAAACAGGACTGGGTATGTAGCTCAGTACAAAGGCCCAGGGTTCAATTCTCCATTACTTGCAGAGGGGTAGCAAGATAAATGTAGACTGTTGTTGCTGGAACACTTCCCCTCATCCAGCCCTGGGAGCTCTGGATCTGAGTCTGGAAATTGAAACAATTTCACTGTAACAAGTGAGTTAGATCTTCCAGACAAGAATTGTGTCCCCACCTGCAATTTTGGGGTGGAACCCGGGAGCTCCTTGGGCAAGCACCTTATCACTAAGCAACACCCTGAGCCAAGAGTGTCATATCTTACCTTTTTTTTTTTTTCTTTTTTTGGCTTTTTTGAGACAGGGTCTTGCTATGTAGTGCAGTCTGGCCTCAAACTCACAGTGGTTCTCCTGCTTCAGCCTCCCAAATGCTGGAATTACAGGCATGTGCCACCACACCCAGAAACATTACTCCTGATGATTCCAAAGAGCAAACTGTGAGATGTGCATGATTTGAGGAACTGTTTCTCAGCCCTGGGTCCTTGGTGTGAATAAGCAAAAGCTTTTTTTAGAGGTTCACAAAAGGCAAATGCTCTTCAGCCAGAGCTTGCAAGAAAGAATGTGAAATTATATACAAACGTATAAAATATACGATATGTATGTAAAAGATTACTTCTTGGGAAGAAAAAGAAACATTTGTTACAGTGCTTCAGGACTTTTTGGATGCACTGTAGGGGACGCAGTATTGTTCTGGGAACCAGGTGCGCACCTAACAGTACCTGAGAGCATCATTACTCGAACCCAGCACCTGTTTCTTTCTCACAATGACTGCCCTGTCACCCATTTTTCCTATAAGAATGGCCCAGGACTTTGAGCATCTGGGGGTCCCAAGGGTTCCTCCCTCTCTTTCTCTCCCCTGTGTGTCCCTGAGAGTCTCCCTGGGTGTCTCTGTGGTCTTTGCTCCTTAGGATCTCAAAGCGCCCCTGCCTCTGTTGGTCTCTGACACTTGGGCACACCTCAGCCCTGCAGCGCGTCACCCTCGGCGCCGGCGCGGAGGCTCCTTTAAGGCAGGCCCCGCCCCGCCCCGCCCCGCCCCTCGCCCCTCCCCGCCCCTCGCCCCGCCCCCGGGGTCAGCCTGCGGCGCCGGCTTTGGGGGTGAGCAGCAGGCGCTCGTTCCGGGCGTGGAGGCGGCGGTGCGGAGATGGCAGGCACGGCGCTAAGGGTCGCGCGGCGGCAGCTGAGCGGGCGCAGCGGGGCTGGCGTCCCCGTCCTCCTGCGGCAGGTGAGAGGCGGTGGGGCCGGGAAGCGGCATTAGTGGGCCCTACGCGGCAGGAGGGCGGAACCCCTAGGTCCTTGAAGACTAGAAACCTGGGGGTCCCACGGCCGGTTGTTCCAGGAAGGGGTGCACGTAGGGTTGGGTTTCTGGGTCCCTTAGGGTGGAGCAGTTAAGGCTTGTGGCACAATTCCTAGGTCTGTTATGAGAGGATGGTGGGCACTTTGATTTTTGAAGTATCAGAAAGTCGGGGTTCCATGCTGGGTGTGGTGGCGCACATCAGTGATCCCAGCATTCTGGAGGCTGAGGCAGGAGGATCAGAATTCGAGGCCAGCATGGGCTACGCAGCCAGTCTCATAGGGCACAAACATACATACAAGAAAGCTGGAATTCTTTGACTTTGACAGAGGAAAGTGAGGACCCCAGACTTTTTGTTTGTTTGAGACAGAGTCTCGCTATGCAGTCCAGGCTGGCCTTGAACTCACTGTGTATCTTGAACTTGTGGCAGTCCTCCTGCCTCAGCCTCCCAAGTGCTGAGATTACAGGCATGCACCACCATGCCTGGCAGGGACCCCCAGAGCCTTGACTCTGAGGGCTAGAGGAGTTGGGGTGTCTGTTTACAGATCTAAGGAAGCGGTGAAGTGGAACTGTGGACTTGGGTTCCTGGGGATGGGGTCACCAGTGCCCTCCCTCCCTCCCTCTAGATGTTTGAGCCTGTGAGCTGTACCTATACCTACCTGCTGGGTGACCGAGAGACCCGAGAGGCCGTTCTGATTGACCCGGTGCTGGAGACAGCCCCTCGGGATGCCCAGCTGGTTAAGGAGCTGGGGCTGCGGCTGCTCTATGCTGGTCAGTTTGGGATTAAACTCTTGGGTCTGGGGGAGGCCAGGCCACGGGGACAATCCAGGGGAAGGCTAGAGGCTGGGCCTCTGGTGGGAAGGAGGAGAATGCCAGGCCTGGGAATGCTGGGTCTTTTCTGTGCCCTGCCTGACCTGTCCTCCTGTCTCCCAGTGAATACCCACTGCCATGCAGACCACATCACAGGCTCAGGGGCGCTCCGGTCCCTGCTTCCTGGCTGCCAGTCTGTCATCTCTCGTCTCAGCGGAGCCCAGGCTGATTTACACATTGAGGATGGCGACTCTATCCGCTTTGGACGCTTTGTAAGTGGCCTTCTGGCTCACCAAAAGAGAGAGTGGCCCAGACTCCTTCCATTTAAGGGAAGAGAAATCTAAGAGAGGACTGGGGTTCCTAACTTTGAGCCCAGAGTTCCGGGAGGCAGGCATTGGAAAGCCAGGTGGGGCACTGGGCTTTTAACAGGTGTGTCTCTGGCCAGGTCCCTTAAGTCAACATGTATGGGATTTCCTAAGGCTTCTCTGGCCTGGCCTTGCCATAAAAGTTGATTGGGGGCGAGGATTCCAAGCCAGGGCAAGGGTAGCTGGAAAACAGCATCCTAGGCCTAGGGCCTTGAAGGGGAGCAAAGCCTGAGGGGCAGGGCACCATACTATTTAAGGTGGCACCCACAGGGTTATATAATTGCAGGGTCAGCCTGGAGGCTGGAACTTCCTTAAATGTTAAGCCTTGGAGCTGCACCCTAGTCTCAGCCCAGCGTTTCCCCATCCAGGAAGAGCCTTAAAGTTCCTGTCTCCCTTGGGTGTCTCTGCTGTGGTGCCAGTCAGTGGGTCTCCTGATCGGCAGGTCTCTCTGCATCTCCGGACAATGTGTGCGTCTGTGTGTGTGTGACTTGTACTCCGGGAGGAGACCATGGACAGGGCTTTTTTTCCCCTTATCACGATGGATAAAGATACAGTTTGGCTAACTTCAGGGACAGAATGTGTGGGAACTGGGTGAGGTCTAGGCCTCCAGGTTTCAGAATTTTGTTAAATGGAGGCGGTTTATTTACAGAAGAGCATTTAGCCACATGTGGGATCAGGTTTAGACGTCATGGTTACGGAGCATTTCAAGAATTTTCTTAGAAACAGGACTTTTTTTTTTTTTTTTTGGTCTTTTTGAGACAGGGTCGTCGTGCAGTTCAGGCTGGCCTTGGGCTCACTTTGTAGCCTATGCTGGTCTCGAACTTGCAACAATCCTCCCATCTCAGCCTCTCGAGTGCTGGGATTACAGGCGTGAGCCACCATACCCAGCAATACATCAAACTTTTATGTGTGTTGTCCAGAGTAGGTGTTGACAGGGATTTCTTAGACCTACTTTTGAAGGATTGGAAGTGATTTGGATTTGTGTTCAGATGAACCCCCACTGTTTTTTTTGAGGCAGATCTCTGCAATTTAGTCTGGACCTCTCTAGATAGCCTAGGTTGGCCTCCAACTCCCGGTGCCAAGGAGCCTGGCAGCTTTGGTCCAAATTCTTGATCAGTCTTTGGAGAAAGGTCCATTTTTTTCTCCCTGTTACTGTATTTTTTTCCTGTTCCTTCTTCTAAAAGTTAAATTGTAGCATACGTATAATAAGGTGAAAAGTACACACATTGTACATGTGCTGCTTGGTACATTTCCACAGCGTGTACCACGCATATCCAGATCCTGGGTGTCTTTCACCCCAAAGGCCGCTTTTCCCTCTTCTTGGCCGCCGGTACCTCTGTCACAGGGCCCTCCTTGTGATTTATGTAACCATGGATAATGTTGCGTGTCCTGGATCTTGTAAGGAAAAAATACACAGTGGTGCCTGTGCCTGTGTTTGGCCTCTGCTCTCCGTGCTGTGTTCATGGTTACAGTTTCTTTTTTCTCTTTGCTGTGTAGTGGGGCTGGCAAACATTTTCTGTGAACTGTGGTAATTACAGTACTCTCTAGTCATGGTGTGAAAGTAGCCACCAACTGTATATAACACAGGCATGGCTATGTTCCAATATAACTGCATTTATGACCTCTAAAACCGGATTCAGCTGGGCCTGGTGACACAGGCCTGTAGTTGTAGCACTCTGGGAGGCTGGGGCAGGAAGAACCCAAGTTCAAACTGGCCTGGACAACTTAGTTGACGTAGTGAGACCCTTTCTCAAAATAAAAAAGAAAATATATATGCTGAGGATGTAGCTCAGTGCGGAGGGTCTGGGATCAATCTCTAGTACAACAAAACAAAACAAATCAAAACAGGCAAAAAATTGGAATGTCAGATAGCTTCATGTGACAAAATTATTATTATTGTTACTATCATTTTGAGACAGAATCTTGCTATGTGTTTCAAGCTGGCCTTGAATTTGCAGCAACCCTTTCGCTTCAGCCTCCCGAATGCTGGGATTACAGACATACCTGGCTGAAAAAAATTTTATTGTGATTATTTTTTCCAATCATAAAAAAGTAAAAATAAAAATCACTCTCGGCTTGCCAGCTTTACAAAAAACATATAACAGGCGAAATCTGTTCCACTGGCCGTAGCTTATCAGCTTGCCACATAGAACACTTTGTTGCGTGAAGACACCAGTTTATCCATTCTCTGGTGATGGTTTTTCCTAGTTTTTGGCTATTATGAATAATGCAGGCTTGAAGATTCTTATGTGATCTCGTGGCTGATGCTGCCCCGAATGCCAGGAAGTCTGGATTTGCTGGGTCAGAAAGATGACGTGTGTTTAACTGTAGCAGAAATTGCCAGACAGTTTTTGTTTGGTTTGGTTTTGGTTTTAGTTTAGTTTTGTTTTTTTAAGAGACTATGTGTGTTGCCCCAGCTGGTCTCAAACTCTGGGACTCACATAATCCTCCTGCCTCAGCCTCCTGAGCAGTTGGAACTACAGTAACATTCTGTGTAATATACACAGTTTTTAAGTGGCAAATTATTTTATGATTTTGATCCATATTCCAGTGTCCTGCTTAAAGGAGCAACAGATAAACTACCACAACAAAAAAACAGTTTCAGTCCACTGTATTATGCCAAGTAGTTTTTAGAGCTAGTTGTAACTTTTACCTAAGGTGGACCAAATTTGAATGGTTTCATTGTAGAACGAATTTTCCTTTTCAATAAGCATTGCCTGAAAACTGAACATGTCAGCTCCTGTGGTAGCTGGCAGATGAAATTAGGCTTGCCTGTTAAATATGCTGATTTTGAGGTGTGCTACTCAAAATATCAATGATTCACGCCCCAATTTAGAGATTAAGTGTCAGGGTTGACACAGGAATTAGTATGTTATCAAAGCTCCATTAGTAACCCCTATATGATGCCCATGGGATTTTGGTTCTTCCTCCTGTTTGGAATTAAACACAGTATCTGAGCTGGGAAGGAGTCTTTTTGTTTTTCCCCTTGCATTTTATTATGAAAAATTTCAAGTACACAGAAAAGTTGAAAACAGTTGCTTTCTGTCTATTTCTTTTTTGTTGTTGTTGTCCTGGGGGTTGAACTCAGGCCCTCACATGTACTGGCTAAGGGTTCTGCCACTGACCCGTGTGGACAGCCTTGTGATCTATGTACCTTTATTTTTAGCGAACCCGGGCTTCATGCAGGCCACCTAAGCAGGAGCATAACGCCACACCCACCCGCAGCCCCTCGTGGAGTTTTTTATTTTCAGCACTGAGGATTGAACCCAGGGGCTTTGTACTGAGCTGTGGGCCAGGTGATCAGCTATCTGGGCCCGAAAACTCAGCAACAGTAATGAATTGTTACAGTTTACAAAAGAAAGAGGATTTATTTATTTATCAGGAGGAAAAAGCAGAAGACAGGCTAACCCTGAAGAGGGGCTCCAGAAAGACGGATACCCCTGAGCCCTTGTTCCTGGCTTGTTTATCAGGAGTGACCCTTCCCTCCTAGAATTTGTCACAGTCTGATTAGCTCTGTGGCTGTCTTTGGCCCAAACCTGGGTACTTCTGCTTCTGTGGACATTCCTTTTTTGGGTTTTGTGTAGTTCCTTCCTGCCTTTTGTGATACATAAATTGAGAGGGTGGGTATAGAAAGGCAGTTTAAAGTTAGGAACAAGGAAACGAAATGTGTGTGTATCTAGTGCAGAAGTATAGTTACCCTAGAGTAAGAAGTAACACTCAGACCTCTTTTCTTTCTGTTGGGTTTGGACAGAATCTCACTCTGTAGTTCAGGCTGGCCTTGTACTCACTATGTGGCCCAAGGCAATCTTCCTGCCTCAGCCTCCTGAGTGCTGGGATTACAGGTGTGGGCCACCGTGGCTGGCTCCTGGTTATTTCTTATTTTTATTTTGAGACAGGGTCTCTCTAATTAGATAAATTCCCCAGTTTGGGCTTGAACTACAGTCTTCCTGCCTTAACCCCCCAGAGGGCTAGGATTATAAACTACAGTACCACACCTGGCTAACTCGTTTTATTTTATTGATTTCTTTGTTTTAGTTTTTACAGTTTATGAATTCTCTTATGTAAAACTTGTGCAGTCACCGCCGACAAGCGTTGCAGAATCCTTACGCCTCACGGCTAAACAATTCCCTGTAACCTTTCGCTCTTACATTCCTTCAGCTGTGTTCTCCAGGTCTTTCTCTTCTTCAAGAAGCCATGTCTTGGCAGTCTGTGTCTGGACTTTCTCTTTGCTATCTAGTGGGGTTGGCAGACATTTTTCTTGACAACATTTTGTTGTGTTGCCACCATCAAAATGGGTTCTGAATCCAAATGCAAAAATCTGGTGTAATCTTTTGGCCCAGGCACTGTTGCTTTCCATCCGTTTGTTTTCCTTTGAAGCGGCCGGTCAGTGGGGAACTTCCTGGCCGGGATAGATACGTGTCATTTTCGGGAACTTCCTGGCCCGGATGGTTACAGGGTCATTCTGCTGGCCGCGGTTCCTCTGGCAGCCGGGCAGGAGTAGAAAAAGGCCTCACGGTATTTTTTAATGTCAACATACTATTCCCTAAACTGTCACAAATTAAAGGTAGACAGGGATTCAGTGTACTTAGCTGCAGTGGGAAATGAGGCTTTGGGTTTTAGAGGTTAGAGGGCGCCGAGTGTGGAGGGTCCAAGATGCGCAACTTTTGAGCGAGGGCGGGAAGACCATGGGAAACCAATGGAAAAGAAGCCAGGCGCCCGGGCGCCGCCAGGGGGCAGTGTCGGCCTCCGCTTGCACCGCGAGCTGGGCTGCAGCGCGGGTCAACTGGTGGGGCGGGGAGGGGGAGCGGACTCAGCAGCTGCAGGAAGCTGAGGGACAGCTGTGGAGCAGTGCTGCGTGCTCAAAACAAAACAAAACCCAAAGCATACATTGCAGACATTTCACCCCT